GGTGCCCAAACTCGGTCCTGGAGGGCCGATGTCCTGCAGAGTTTAGCTCCAACCTGCCTCAACACACCTGCCTGGAGGTTTCTAGTATGCCTAGTAAGAGCTTGATTAGATGGTTCAGGTGTGTCTAACTGGGGTTGGATCTAAACTCTGCAGGACACCGGCCCTCCAGGACCGAGTTTGGGCACCCCTGCTATAGATGATGTTTCATTTTCGTACATATACATAATAAGTGCCTTATTAAAGGATGCACAGGATGTTTTGTGCAGTCATCGAGAGGACATGTAATGACATGATGTATATGGCACGTGTGTGTGAAGGTTTATGAGAGTGACAGAGCGTGATCACGCCTTTATGAGCGCGCACAGGGGATAACACAGGTAAAGTTATTGACATTCATTAGACCTTCGGTTTCATACCAATTAAACTCTTTGTGCCTGTTATGTTTTGAGCCCAACCTAACTCAGATAGACTTGAATATATGCCCTTTACGTTGCACAAGGCTTAATTTCTAGAAGAAAAATACATACAAATAAATTAACCATATAAATTAATTAAACAATTTAACTACATGACATTATATAAAACCAAAACTAAAATGTTCAGAAAAACATCCCTGTTATTGTACAAAGCTCCGCTTTTGGAATTACCATTTTATGTGATTTATAATAATTTTACAACTTTTGATGTATGCAATAATATAAATCCATTAAACGACAACACCATTTGATCTAAAGGTATCAAACCAACTGTACAAATCTCTAAATATTATTCCCTATAATGCAAAAGGGTTGGTTTTTCAGATTATGTCTTTTTTGTTTTTATATATGGTAAAACCATATCTTTAATATGTTTTATATACTGTACCCACTTAAATTAATTAAACTCTGACTCTGTTCGAGATAAAGGTATCAAACCAACTGTAAAAATCTCTAAATATTATTCACTTTAATGAACAAGGTTTGTTTTTTTAGATTATGCCTTTATTGTTTTTATATACAGTACTGAATACATATTTGATCAATATGACTTAAACTTCTTTGTATGCCATGGCATAGCATTAGGATATTACCATATAAATATTTTTTTTATAATAAAGTAACATAAGAACTTT